CCGGGTGAAAACAAAAGATAAGCATTGGCGACTGTAAGTTCAAAATTTCAAGGTACTTAAATTTTGCTTCTTTTGATGTGTAAAGATCCTGCGGACATTCCGTCTACACTCGACCTCCAACGATGTATTTTCCAGGATTTTTCTTTTTTAATCTTTTTATCTTAACAAATCTTCGTGTGAAGGACGTCGGGTGTTTTTATAGCCCCGGCACTTTCTCAGTAGCTAGGGTTTTTTTTCTTTCCTTTTTTTATTGCCTGGGGAAAGGGAAAATTCCGTTATCTTTTCTTTATTTCCTTAATGTGTTGTCGAGATACAGTAAAGACAGTTTTTGACCTGGTCATCTAAAATCTATTTCCTAAAAGTTTATCTTTTATTACATCAAATCATTTAGTCAAATATTTTATTGGATGACTGGTAGGATTTAACAGTAATCTGATGCCCTTTTCTCTTCCACAAATTTACTTATAAAAGAAAAAGCGTTTATTTATTTATTTTTTCCTTTTCTTTTTCCTTTAGTACTTTTGTTAAACGAAACACATGTTTTTAAACTATTTTTCTATTCTTAACCGTTTTCTATTCTTAATTTATTAAAATAAAATACATATTTTACAAATCAACCTTAATATGCGCCTAGTTATCGTGTCACAAAAGTCCGTTACTTTCGCATAAGAAATTCGTAGAGATGGCGTATACCATCATGCGATACATTAATTATTCTCTCATATCCTGAACGTAAATCGAACTGGCTTTTTACATTCAATGATTCGAATACCAAATTGGATACGTTCCATCATCGGCGATCAGATATCGAACTACGGCCAATCAAGATGAACGGTGGTCCTCCCGGGGAAGCACCGTGCTTTGAAGACTGTTGGGCACCATACTCACACACAAACTAGAGTAGAACTCGTACATACGATCCGTTGCTCAGGATGAAATTAAAATAATCGGCTCCATGTACCGCTCCTGTAAGTACCTGACTCTTCCTATCTTTTATGTTTACAAGAGACAGATCAAGACAAAAATGGAATGCGGTTGTCATATCTGGGCATGAGATGCCAAGACCTCACTCTCTAGACTTGTTAGAGTTAAAAATCGCGTCCGAGCTTTTGTGGGTTACGAATTATTCTCCACACTTCAACCCATCTCCAAAAGCGGTATGTGTCATGTCCCTTGCTGCTTTATCGCTAATTCCAGGGAAAGTTCTCGGACGAACTTTGTTCTGCCAAGGAAAAACTTCATGGCAAGAACACGCTATGCCATTTACGTAGTTGCACACCACCCACATTCTATCTATATTCCATTGGTTAGAAGTTCCAATCCAGCAGCTTCTTTACGTGAACCACTACCCCGTGTAATGTTTTCCCGATCTCTACAATCTTGAACTATTCACGCTACCTCGAGTGGCACCGAGTCTTGTAAAGTGTGACGCTTACTAAAAAAAAAAAAAACAGAATACAGGAAAAGAAACGAAGTGTGTAATAAGGATTTTCGTTGACATTGACGATTTTTTTCGGTGATGTTGGTCTATATTTTCAAGCAAGAATGAAGTGTTTAGAATTAATCACCGTTATTTAGAAAGTAGCACAGGAGGCAGAAGTATATTCTGTTTTCGACACGGCAATACTCATCAGAGAAAATCATAATGGACTAAAACTTTGTACAAGTGGGGTCCCTCGTTCGTTCATTGGAGGCTTTCGTTATCGTTTTCAAACTGTGAACAAGTATAATTCTGAAGAGTTTCAAGTATGTTATCTGAAGAGGCTTTTAGCTATTCTTCTGCTACTTTTACCTGTCGTTTGCCTTCTGGACGTTAACAATCATGGTTGTCCACAACTAACTACACTTTATAACTCTTAGCAATGTTTGCCTTTCTTTTTTTACAGTCCCTCTCAATCCATGAAATGCCATCCAAGAGTACAATTTCGTTAGGTACATTACACGCTGGTTGCTTTGTCTTCCTTGTGACCGTAAAATTTTCTCCCCCACCCACCTGCATTCAACTATCTCTTTTCTATTCTAACAAAAACCAGTGTTTTTGGTTCCATTTTTCTTAAAACTGCCTCATTGCTCACATGTTCTAAACAGGGAATAAACTGTATCTTCAAGTAGACAAACTTACCTGTTTTCGCAAATTTTCTCTTTGTTGAGTAGATTGACCAGAATTAAAAGATTGATCTTGCACAGCATTTCTACATTCATTTATTTTAGTTCTAATGAACTATTTCTATTTCTTTATAAATTGTTTAATATTTGGAAGGCATCTAATGCTATTAAATTGCATCTTCGGATTTTTATATCACGTTTTCGATCGTCTGTTAAAATACTTCCTAGATATTTAAACGTCTGCACTTCATTTTTTCGTTGTGATGACGACCATATATTTATTTCGTTACATTTGATGATTAGTCCTTTCTTCCCGCTTCCCTTCGCGACATTATCTCTGAGACCCTGCAGCTTTCTTTCTGAGTCTGCCAAATACAAACAATGGTTGTTCAAAACTTTATGAATTACGCAGGGAATATTTGTTTAAAATGTGCATATCCATTATGCGAGTAGCATTTATCCTGATATCCAATGACGCTTTAAATACTGTAAAAAACAAACAAAACAAAACAAAAGCGCGCTGAATCGAGATTAGCATGCATGAAAACGACTCGAATGGATGAATGATATCCTCCTGGGTTGAATTCTATTGAAAACATCTTCGCCATTTTGGATGGCGGATTAAGGTTAGAGTTTCAAAATCTTAGACCAAAAATTGTACATATATATATATATATATATATATATATATATATATATATATATATATATATATATATGTCTCTGTGTGTGTATTTTTCTGTATCATTCTCATCTCGTTGTATTTTGTCAGTAATTTCTGTTATATAAACATCTAGTTAAATTAAATTCTATTCAACAGTTTATAGGTATTATGCCCACATCCATACGTAGTTTTTTTTATCCTAGAAATGGTTGCTGAATGAGGAATAACCAAAATGGATATGAAATGGTTGTCTTTATAACAGCAACAAAATAAAATACTTGCCAGCGGCGTGAAGTAGATAAACCACTGCTAGTGGTGAACTACTTAGACGACATATTAACCCCACTAATAATAGTGTCCAACGTATTCATGAGGATAGGAACATACCCATTAATGTTCATAAGTACGGCATATAACACATACAAAAACTCTCTCTCTCTCTCTCTCTCTCTCTCTCTCTCTCTTACACACATAGAGGCAAACAGACCCACCCACACACACACTCATATACCGGGTGTAACATCAAAATTGTTCAAATCATGTAACAAAATAATTGTCCAGTTGTTAGATTAAGATTTTAACTGTAGTAACTTAGAAATGATTAAAGATATTTCACTGGAATTCTCCGAGTGTTTTATAACACTATTGAACTCTACTTTGAACAATAAGAAGGTATTTAGGTTTAAGTTGAAATGAGGATCCCTCTTACTGTTTAGAGTTGCAGTTACACGATTTGGATAATTTTTCTGTTAGACCCGGAATATATATATATATATATATATATATATATATATATATATATATATATATATATATATAAATATAGATAACTAGACTCGTTTCGAAAAAACCCTCGAATTTTTTTGATTTGCTAATCAAATCAATCTCGAGGGAAAAAAAGGTTTTAAAAAAAAGAGCTACAAACATGGACTTCTGCCGACAAAAAATCGCACAGATGCAGGTCTGAAGCCCAAAGAAAAAAACCCCGATACGAGTAACAACTAACTAACAAAAAGAGCTCAATACAAACTTTCCCCTGACGATCCGTTTAGGTGAAACCTAGGTAGGTTTGTCTGGCTCACTAGGTGTATCTATATATATATATATATATATATATATATATATATATATATATATATATATATATATATATATGATTTGATTAATTCATTTGTTTATAGCATATCAACACTTTGTCGTTTATTTATACCAAAGCACATTTTCACTCGTTATATCAATAGCTTTTCGCGAGTAGACAATCGAATTTGCGTTAAAAATTTTCAAGATAAAAATTCTGTTAATACATAGTTTATACATTGGTAGAAGAGACGGATTTATACTTTACCCAACTGTATTTGCGCGTATGAGAATTTAACGAAATAGACTGGACTCGAACACTGGTTCTCTGATTTTTTTTTTTTTATCACGAGCTGCCATGAACCACACTACTCTCCCATCCTATTTCATTTGAATGGTGAATATGTGCCAGCAATGTTTCAACTGTAACCAAACGGACATTATAGAAATATATATATATATATGTGTGTGTGTGTGTGTGTGTGTGTGTGCATATAATGTATATGCGTTTGCATTGTGATTTTAATGTAACTTTCCAGATGATTATTACTAAAGTGATGATACTTAAAATAATTCTCCCAGGAGAAGATTTGCTTAAAAGCCCTATTTAAATATCTAACAAACGCTTTAAGAAATATTACTCTGAATTATATGCAAAAGGAAAAGCTATTTTGAGAAGGTTCAAGATATTGAAAATTCCGATTTTTACTTACAGAATATACATGACTACAGAAAATACATGTTTTTCTTAAGACTTGCGCCCCTACGCATTACATTGAAATGTACTCATTTTATATATTTATTAAAACAGTTTAAAACAACGTACACAACATCAATACCATATTATCAAATTTAAAAATAAAAGGTGTAAATATATGCAATGTCGAGATAAATTCATACGTGAAGACACGAAGCATCAAAAAACTGACGTGAATTGTGAAAACTCCACATTAGATAAAAGTGAAACTTGCATAATGTGAATTACAATGGAATTCGTCACAAACTTATCAATAAAGTCTTTGTTAATACTGAAATTACTCCGATATTGGACAATGTTTTCAATCTGTCATCGGAAACCATGGAACTGAAATACTGAAAAAAAATCACGAATATATTCCTTTACCAAATAATTTGCACAATACTTTAAACAAACCTGAATAAACGAAATATTACTACCCAGATAGATAGATAGATAGATAGATAGATAGATAGATAGATAGATAGATAGGAACTGACTGAGATAGATAGATAGATAGATCGATAGATAGATAGATAGATAGATAGATAGACAGACAGACAGACTTTTTAATTCGCCTAATATTAAAACGTTTTAATAAATTAAATTTCAGAAATTCATATAAGTAACCCCATCTATTAATATCCTGGATATTTCACATATAATACGTAAACATCATTCTGATGACATTTAAATGATCTTACAAAATTCACACTATTAATCCACTTATAGAATCCCAATTAAGCATTACGTTTTAAGTAATAATTACTACTACTGAAGGTTTGCAGTAATACCTGAAGTTTGAAACAATATAAAAATTGAAGAAAGCGTCGTTGTAATGACGACAAATTCATAAAGTATACTCGGAAAATTTAAAGTCGTTCATCCATTGATTTCGTGAGCTGATGGAGTTTTATATACAACTGTCTTCACAGAATCCCAAATCACATTGCAAACTCCATCTTTGCTGCGATCTTCCGTATAGCAATATAAATATTCCTCCGTAGAATGCGACACAATGAGGTTTTGGTCATGGGAACAAGCCAACCATTTCAGCAAATGTGTTTAACGACAATTTATTCATGTATTCCCTCATTTTCCTCGGCGAATATGATGGAAGGTTGTCGTAGATGTAAATCACCTTCTTTAAGAAGGCTTTTATCACCTTATTCAGCCATGTCCCCAAAAGTGACTGAGCTGTCATTTTGCACCATATCCAACTCCCAGGGGCCTGTTACTTCATCCTCTATTAAACCACTACAACATATCCTACTGCGTTTGCTTTGTTGCCGTCTCAACCTCTGAAGGCTGTTTCCACCACCTGCTATACAGCTGTTACTATATTTTTCTTGAGACATTCTTGGTAAAATGAATAGCTGATAATCATTCTTTACCTTACTACCTGCTACATTCAATTTTCCCTGTGGATGTATTTCATTATAGACCTACTGATTGATCTCACTTTTATTGCTTCTTGATTTAGACATCGACATAATGTGATGCTTACATATCCTTGCTGTCAGAAGGCGTTCATTTTTGTATATTTTTATTGGATTTATCCCTTAATATGTGAGGTAGATCGGCAACATCTTTACATTAACAGATTTACATCGATGTATTCTATGATCTTCAGCAAACTTCGTTACAATTCGACACGACATGTCTATCGTTTCCTTTCAATTTTTACAGTTGTTCTTAGTTCTGAATTTGAACATATATCATTATCCGATATATTAACCTGGTAACTAGTTCCAAAGCTTAATATTCAAAATATGGCTTTTCATTTAAAACTTCTCAAAATCAGATGACTGCACATAGTGTATTTATACATTCACACTGCTTCAAGAGGCAAGGAACAATCTATTGCAGGTTGGTATTCGCCATCTGTACGAATGTTTTAATGCGAAAGCAGAGGTCTGAGTTAACGCATAAGTAAATTATATTGTGTATTAACATGCGCTCAGGCTAATATTGATGTGGTCATTTCTGTTAATCCAGGTATATTTAATTTTCAGGAAATTTAAACATATTCAGTTTGTTGGGCATTTTTCTTCCGATATTGTATACTGATGCCTATTTTTTTGTATCATATTCTGATCAACTGTTAATTTTTTTTTTTTTTTAGTGATAGCAAAAGATGTTCCCGACTTTTAATAAGGCCGCGATTATTGCATAATTGAAATAGGTATTATTTTTGTAATCAACGCATAGATGTTTTGTTTATTTTTATAAGCAATAAATTTTTATAACACTATTTACATAATTTGGACTATTGTCCTGATCTTTGTCGTTGTGATAAACCTAGCCAATAGTCCGCGTAATGTAAATAGTGTACATAATACCTCACCTCAGAAATGTAGACAAATTTTTATAATATTTTATAATTTCTATAAAAACATATCATGCTGATATTAATTCATTCATCCAGTCAAGTATATGTATACAATCAACATTTTTAGACGTTGCTCTCTACAGTTTCATTACTATTGCAAAAATTCAAAATTCTAACAACAGCAAGTTTACCAACTGCATTTTGATTGATAGAAGCACAATTTCTATGGCAGATAAATATGAATTATTCTTCACAAAATTCTGTTAAGTTTTTACTCATCTCACTGGCACTTTACCGAAATTTGATGTCGCATTTTATTGCCAATGGATTAGACTTAATGTAAAACTAGAAAGCGTTATAAACTGACATTATTATTGCATGCGTATTAACTGACAATTGTAATGTACAGACGTCAGTTCATTTTAATCTAGTTAGCCATCTGACATCGTGCAACGTTCAAGTGAAACAATGTCGAATATGTGCAGAGAGTGTCTCACATTTAAAAGCATTATATATTTCTTATAAATACCGCTTTTCCTAGCTCATAACTTTTACCATTTCAGATATAATTTATGTTTTACGTTTACTGGACAAAACAAATCATTTCCCTTTTCATTATATCTTTACAAAATTACCATTCCGTTAATCTACATTTGACTGAAATACACGTCGAAATGATTGTTCTTTGGCTTCACAGATTTATAAATATATCATTCTGATCCATTCTAATGTATGTATGTATGTATGTATGTATGTATGTATGTATCTATCTATCTATCTAGATAGATAGATAGTTAGTTAGATAGATAGATAGATAGATAGATAGATAGATAGATAGATAGATAGATAGATAGATAGAGGAATAAACACTATATAGAAAGATACATATTACTCCTGGTATTATATGAATCGCTTTCTGCTCAATATCATTTCATGTTAAAAATTTTATGGGTTCAATGTAGCAGGACAATGGAAATATCGCTTGGAAAAATATTAGAAACGGAATGACAAAGAAGCGACAACGAAGTCTATTTCAAGAGCAATTTGAAGCAAGACTATCACTTAATAGACGAAAGTATCTGGGTGCCTTACATGAAAGGCTCGAACAAATAAGACTGCAATCTAAGAAACCTAGTAATTATGGAACTAATTTATTAAACGGTTCATTTTGCACAGGGAAATTTTTTTATCTAAATGCAGAAAATTAATTTATTTGTATAGATTATTAACACAAATAAAGGAAGTAATCACTCATAAATTTATTAACTTGTGTAGTTTACCTCCATTTCCAACACAGATGGGAAAGGAAATATAAAACTAAATACGCAGGAAATATATAAATAAACAGAGGTTGATAATTACTTTATGGTTCCATTGTATAATTGTGACTCGTCTATACATAGATTGATAGATAGATTCAAAATTCAAGTGATGTTGCTATTCTTTGTATGGCCTTCATATAGAGAATATTGAAGCATAAGAGAATTTATTGAAAATGAAGATTTGCCTCTCCTTGTTCTTTTGTTTATGGCTAATTTTTAGATTATAGATATTGTTTTTTTTTAGTTTATTTTAATTGTTTTTAGATTTCATTTTATTTATTTTTGTATAATTTTGTTTTCTTTTCATTTCATTTACTTTTTCTTCGATTAGAAATTTTCGTATATAAAATAATGTTTATTCAAATTAATCTATGGGTTATTTTTAGTTTTCTGGGTACTTATATGATTATATCAGCGTAGTAGTCATGTAATTTTGTATCTAAGTGTATCTAAACAATTAGCTTCAGTTTTTGATGAAACATTTATATTCTTCTAGAAACTGGATTATTGCTGTTTTCCGTTCAAAGTAATCGTTTTTTGTTGTTTTTTTTTTTTTGCTTTATTTTGTGTTGTATGCAGGTGCTGTTTTTATAGTGAAAGTAGTGATATATAAGCGCTCTTTTTGTTGCGATTTTTAAAATCTCAGTAACATTTTGAAGAACTACATTTATCTAGCTACAGTTTTCTCTGACCAGATTGCCTAGCATTCATTGGCATATTAGAAGATTGATTTCGTATTGCAATGTACCAATCTTTACTTTGTTTCGAAAGATTTATTTGTTTTTCAGAACTTTACTTAGATTTTGAAATCCCTTTGTTGCTAGATCAATGCGTGTTCAGATTTCGGTGTCCCTTTTCCCATGTTGTGCTAAACACTTCTCAGATGTTTAATCTCTGTACTTGCTTGATACTGAAATCTTTTTTGCACCTCGAATCTTTAAGATGTAAACGTCAAGTAAGTATAGAAGATTAAACGCCCGGAAAAAGTTTTAATAGAGGATGGGAAATTCAATACCGAAAATTAGTGGATGGCAATATTTTCTGGTTTCTTTCGTTTGATGGTTAATTCTTTTTTCTCGCTTTCTTTTACTACCATCTTTAGGGGCACCTGTAATTTTATTTCCGTGTCAGTCATCAATACAGTGTTATCTGCGTATGATATAGAGTTAAGATTACACCCATCGATAAAAAGAAATCATAGTATCGTTTCCTGCACCTTTAGGATAGTTTCGATACACAGGCTGAATAAATCTAGGAAAAAACGCATTCTTGCTTACGTCCATTTCTATTTAGTGTAGTCACAGAATTCGTTTTATTTCCCTATGCAGTCGGTTTACTCACAATATAATTTCCATTTTTTAATAAAATATATATCACACACACGTACACACACACACACACACACACATATATATATATATATATATATATATATATATATATATATATATATATTTCACATATACCCACACAGATATATACGCACTTACACATATATACATCGCCACACAAATATATACCCATCCTGGGTATGACAATAAACTACATCCGCGTCCTGCGTAAGACGATAAGCTACATCCAGTAGTAAGGCCTCTGATCAGGAGCTTTTGAGGAGGGTGGAACCACTTCTTAATTACTGGTTTTCCAAGGTCCTTCCTGACCCTGGGTGGTAGCACCTGTTAGGGTTCCAGTTATGGGTAAATAGTTAATCTCCAAAACTGGGGTCAAATCACTATGAAATTGTAAAATTTTTTACCAACAATACGTTATTACCAGCAATACATTTTTTGGGAAAAAAAAATTACCAGCAGTAAAAATTTTGTCGGCATTAAATAACCCATTGATGTTGATATGCCGTAAAAGAAAACAGACCCAAACAAACCAAAACCACACTAATATACATACATATATATATATATATATATATATATATATATATATATATATATATATATATAAATAAATACTTTCATAAAATAAAACATTATAATTTTAATTTGAAACTTTTTATATATATATATATATATATATATATGTATTTTAGCTTTTAAATATATATATATACATATACACACACACACACACACACACATATATATATATATATATATATATATATATATATATATATATATATATATATATATAAATCACGTATCTGTACTAAACAAGTACAAATGGTTTCAGGCAGCCAAGTAGAAAAGCTATATAACATGTCTAGAATCATTGTTTCTTATTAACGTGCTTGAAAGCAGGATGGAATGTGTCATAAATAGCAAATGGCGTCGTAAGATGTGTTTTTCAAAGCTTTGATGCATGTAAATTATTGTGCCAATCGTGATAGTCATCTACATATGGGCTGAGTTGCATTCCGATAACAAAAATATGAAAAAAAAACCTTTTGTTCTGCCTGCTGTTCGCATTATTACATTTATTTATATTTTTTCTTTTATTTTTTTCTTTTATTTTTTTTCTTTTATTTTTTTCTTTTTGTGAGCAAGATATCGTCTGTGTCTGCGTGTTTTAAGGTATATGGGAATACTTGTAAATTCTTTCAGTCGTCAATAGCGTTGCAAATTGGTACCATTTCATTGATTTCAGTATATAAACCCTATTTCTGTGCCGTATATTATCAGGATGTTATCGATCATGGCTCTCCACTATTTCCTGTCTATCGTAGCTCTTATTAATGTTTTATTTTAGT